GGGCCCGGGATTCCAGGGATATTTTGTTGAATTGCGATGAGGCACAACTCGTCCTCGCTGAGCAGATCTCGGGGCGTGGGACGTTGTCTGGAAGCCTCGCTAATGGGCCGTCGCCAACAGAAAAACCCTAACAGTTGAAACTACAGAATTTTGAAACATTAGTTACATGATATTTCAATAAGCAAAGCACCACCTACCTAACAACAAAAGAGTTACGTGATGGCATTGTCTATCTGTTCATATCACAAATTGGTATTCTTCAGGTCACCATGCGTCACTTACACCTCAGTCCGCCTGTAAATACTTTTGAACTTCTGTATGGTAGAAGTGATCAATGTCCCAAGCCCGAAACTTTTTCTAATATGTCTAGTGTTTATTTAGTGTCTTTCTAAACAATCTTATTGGCATCTATTGCCAAAGTATATACCAAAGTTGCCTTTAAATATGACAGTACCGTGAAACAAAAATTAATTAAAAATTCTCCCAAAGAATCTGTAAGTTATGTGTACTCCATCTCATGCATATGTTGTGATACCTTTTTTTTAAAAGTCTAGACAGAGGAGTTTACGAGTGTTGTAAAGTTTTTTCCGGGACGGATTAAGAGTCTCACTCTTTTTCGGTCTCATTGCATTGGTCTCTTTCATCACATTGGTTCGAAACGTTGTAAGTCGTTTCTTTGAATTCAAAGCGGAGGGCATAATCATACTGGAAAACACGAAGGGTAAGTGCCCAACAAGTTTGAAAATATATCAAGAAGTAACCAATGAACAATATATAAAATGGCTCAGTTTTATTTTTCTCAATAAAGGTTTAATGCACCCAAAGGCTTTTCGATCTGCCCTTTTATGTGAAGAAACCCTAAATTTGTTGAATGCGAAGCATGAGAAACTCGAGAAAAGAATATAATAAGACTGGCAAGATGTCCCCCGAGGAGGATAACAAACATTCCCTGAAAAAAAAACAGAAAAAATAATTCCATTAATGATTAATTGTGAGAGCTTTTATAAAAAATGGTGATAATATAAAACTGTACTGAAGTTAGAGAAATGAGCTTTAGAAAGCTTAGGGAACAAATGGATTTAGCAGTTCAAAGCAAAAGAGAGGAGCCATTGATGGAGAGGTAGAGGTATTGGTAAAATGGAGGAAATATTTAAGGAGTTGGTTAAAGTGATGAGGAACAGAGGCAAATAATTTCCAACATTGCGCAGGGAGGTTTAACACCCTTTAGGAGTAAGGAAGACCCAGATGTGAGGTGGGTGAGCGGCATGAGGCAGTGATTAGAATGAAAGGGGTAAAGCAGCTGAGATAATGTGATTAAAATAGACATATTTAAAACCCGGAGGAACTTTGGTTTCGATGGGTTGGTGATTTTTCAGTATATGTAGTAAAAGGGATTAAGGTACCCAGGGATTAGCAGAGATGATGCATAGTTTATTTAAGGGGAAAGGGGATAAAAAATAATGCAGGAATTAATGGTTAATAAGCCGTTGAATTTACCATCTAACTTTATTATTTAAAGAATTATGAGTAAGATAGAGAGTAGGATTACAGAGGAGTGAGGTCCAAGTGTTTACATTGAGGCACAAACCTGAACATTATTTAGATAAAGGTAAGGAGTATTTCGTTGCATTTATAGGTTTAGAAAAGTCATATGATGGTGTGGATAGGAAAGCAATATAAGAGATTTTGCAGATGTATGGAGTATGTAATAAGTTACTTAAAGAAATAAAGATATTTCATGAGAAAGGAAAATTACCTTTTAGTAAAAGTAGGCCTTAGACAGTGATGTGTGATATCCTAATGGTTTATACCATACTGATAGATGAGTCTGTATAAGAAATGAACATTAGGGTGTTGGGATGAAGTGTGAAACTCGGTGGAGTTACTTTACTGCCGATGACACGGTACTTTAGGGAGATTCGGAAGAGAAGTTGCAAAGAATGGAGGACGATTTTGGGAGGGTATATAAGAGAAGAAATGTAAACTGAACATAGGACAGAGCAAGGTGATGATAGTATCAATAAAATATAGTCAATGAGAGATTGGATATCGGATTGGAA